CACCCGCCGGCGCGGGGCCGCGCTCGCCCGTGGGCGCGGCGCGGGGGGCTCGCCCGCCCCCGGCCCGCGTCTCCTCCCCCGGGTGCCTGCGTCGCCCTCGGCCCCCCATGATGTCACCCTCCCCATACCCGGGCACAGACCCCGGGGACGCGCTAGGAGGGTCCCTGGGCCTCCGCCTTCGCGGTTAGAAAAGCAAGAGGACGGGCGATGGGGCTCCCCCGGCCCCCCAGGAGCACCCTGCGTTCTGTTTCCGTAAACCCCTGGGTGGCAGAGGGGAAGGTGGTCAGACCCGTGGGCAGGTGACATGTGCCCGCCCTCGGGTGGGTGGCTGGGCCGCGAAGGGGCGTGCCGGCCGCACAGGTGAGGCTCGGCCGCCGCGGCTCGGACAGGTGGGGGCGCTGGCCCTGTGGCCTCTGGCGAGAGGGACAGGCCTCCTCCCTAAGGGTCAGTTTTGAGTAGACAGAAGTGAGACCCCAGCATGGAAATACCGACCTACCTGATAGTTATGTGCTTACCTTTATTAAGCTCCTAAGGTAGTGGATGAGGGTTTTTTCTCCACAAATGCTCAGAAATTTAATACCCCCCCCCCCAGAAAGAGCAGATTAAAATGGTAGAAACAAGTGTGTGACCAGAGACACGTGGCTGTGTGTGTATGTAAAGCTGCCGAAGCACAAAACCACGTTTGCTTCAGCCACTAGCATGAAATCCAGACTTACCAGATACATTTGGAGAACTCAGCTTGGTCCCGGAAGGTGTTTTTACGTAAATGAGCAACTGGTTTTGTGATAAACCTTAAAAGGCAAGGATGAGAAGTCTCCCTAGAGAGTGCCACTCTGCAGACACTTGGTTTTTATAAGTGAGGTGCTTCCCCCCCAGTTCACACACACCACACCGTATTTTGTTTCAAACCTGGGCATTTTCACATTCTCCACATTTTCACTGCTCCACTCAGCTTCTCTGCATTTCCTTGACATCACTGCCTTATGGTGAATGGTCCAGAAATAGGACAACTATAGTTTGGACTTGGAAAGGGAAAAACAGTAAATTTTATCATTTATGGACGGTTTTTTTTCCCCCTGATAGCTTTGATTCATACTTTAGCAGAAAAGTTGCCAACAAAGAATATAATAATATGTTTGATTTTGGAAGCAGGAGGGACAGTTATTATTTTTTTTCCCCAGAACACAAATTTTAAAACCCCAGTTTCCAGGCTAATAGCTTTTCTCGGCACACTTATTTTTGAGCGGGAACTCTGTTTGCTTAGGATATGCCTCTCATTCCCTTGGTGCCATCATCCGTGTAGAAGGCCAGGGAGAGAACACCCCTCCCGTTTTGCAGATTTACTGGAGATTTAAGACCACTCTTTCTGACGCACGTGATTTCAGAGGTTGAGACTGCAGTGAGTCAAATGCTTTCTCAGCCCCCTTGTCACATTTGTGAAGTATAGATGATCCCTGTCCACATCACCTCAAAGAGTTCATGAGTGTGGCTGTTCATTCAGCAAGTGTCTCTTCAGCGGGTACTGCAGAGAACAAAAGAGAAGGCCCTGCCTGGAGGACCTAATGGTCTACAAGGAGGGTGCAGACAACAATAAGACGGTGTCAGGTAGACAGTGGTTAGAGCATGGAGAAGAAGGAAGGAAGGATGGAAGGACCGACAGCAGGGGGAGGCCCAGGTGTGGGTAGGGGTACGCACACAGGCAGTTGGGACTAGAAAGGTCTGTCTGAGCAGCAGCCATTTGAACGGAGACCATTGCTGTGAGGTGCTCCATGGACATCTGGGGTGAGGGTATCATAGGCAGACAAATGGCAAGTGCAAAGGCCCTGGGGTGGAAACAAGCTTTGTGCGCCCAAGGATGAGAAAGGCCAGCGTGGCCAAGGGGAGCGCACAGGAGGCATCACATGCCGTCCACCACTCAGTTTATCCTGAATGCAAGGTTGACACTGCTGGGGGCTTTGGGCCGGGGTGGGACAGAGCCTGGGTCTTTTCAGAAACTTCCCTGTGGCTGCCGTGTGGAGAATCAAGGCCCCGCAAGATTCTACTAAAAATGGTGGCGGCAGAAGGGGGAATGAGGAGAGAGGACAAAGTGTGTTTCCAGCGTGAGGCGGGCCTTGCTGCTGGTTGGGGAGTGTGTGATGGGTGACGGGAGGTGCCATTTACTGAGATACAGAGAACAGATGTGCCGGGGCGGTTGGGGTGTGATCGGGGGAGCCAAGGGCCCTGCAGACGAGTGGCATCTTTAGACCGCCCCTCTGGGGTGGGAGCATCCTTGCCCAGGGCCCGGGGTCCAGAGCCTAACCTACACTCTCTCATCCTGAGGAAGGGTCCGTCCTCTCGCGGTCCAGGATGCAGCAACCCCCACCCCCAGTCTTGATGTGGGCCGTGGGCCTGGGGTGTGTACACCTCAGGGTCCCCACAGATGTGTGTGTGTCACGGTGAGACCACCGTGGGGTAAGACCTCAGGCTTTCAGCAGGTGGGAGGTGCCGCCCTGCTGACGGAAGAGGTGGGGGACCTGTCAGCATTTACGGTGGTCGTTGATGAGTAGCTGTGGGGGACACTGCCATAACGGGAAAGCTCGCCCGTTCCCATCTACTCGTCTGTGGACCATGGTTTCCTGCACTCACATTTATAAAAACGGAGCATAGGAACAGGGCTGCACGTTGGTCCATGACATGTGAACCAGCTGGGGGAAAAGCCCTACCTGCCCCGTTGAACACAGCTTCTATGTTAGGTGACTGTTGGCCAGAGCATATGCTAGGTTTCTGTTTCGATCAATGGGGTTCCAGTGGTTACAATGGTAACTCAGTCCAGAAGAAGTTTGCACACCCTTATGGCAATAGAAGAGACTGATCTGATGATTCCTGTGCATATTTGTCGTGTGATCAATAGATCCATTTCAAGCATGAATATATCACATTGGATTTAACGTCTGCTGTGGTGGAAATAGGAGACCACAGAGAAAGGCGTGCCGTGAGCTTCCTGACAGTTGAAGAAGGGCTTGTTCGTGTGCTTTGCAAATTGATTGCAGTGGACGTGGCACCATCACGCTTAGATTCCAGTAGACATGTTTAGAGGAGTGACATAACAGTTTTATTTTAAGAAGGCAATATTTATAATATGCTGGAAATTACGTCCCCTGCAGCTGTTTAAACCAGGGGTTCCAGTTTAAGCTGTCGGCTCAAGCGCAGGGCATAGCATTTTGTAAACTATTATACTTTTGCAGCAATATGAGCAAAGATGTTGGCGGTGCCTGGAACCAGGCATCAGGTGGTGTCTGGGGAGGACCAAGGGCTGGACTGGTGCCATGGGTTTGGGAGGTGGCTTGGGGTCAGTGCTGGGTCCCGAGGGAGAGAAGACCATGGGGCCAGCCTGGGTCACCCCCCGTGGTGGCTTTGGGTGGGCGATGGGAACAAAGGGGCTTAGGGAGGAGCTGGGGTGGGGTGGAAGGAAGAAACTGGGGGACCATGGGAGAAAGGGTTTCCGGAGGGAGGGTGAGGGCCCACTGTGGAACGCAGCCCAGGGGCGGGAGCTGGTGCAGGGTTGGGTGACCAGGTGAGCTGCTGGGGGGGGGGGCGGGCAAAATCCTTCCATTCAAGGGAGAACGGGAGGGGAGGACACCATTGGAGCCCTTCCCAGGATTTTTGCCATGAAAGGAAACAGAAATGGAGCAGTAGAGCGGGGTGGGGGGTGAGGCAGGAGTGGGCGCTGTGCAGGCTGGTGTGAACAATTGGGGTGTGGCTCGCTGCTGGAGAGGGGTGTGTAATTAGGAAGGTGTGGATGGGCAGGTGATTTATTTTTTATATTTGCTTCGTTCTTGTTTGTATGTAGGTCTTACTGGGCCTCCCCGGGAAGAGTGGGTGTGATGCACCCCTGTGTTGAATGAAGGCTTCAGAGAGGAGCGCCATTTGGATGAGGTCTGAAAGATTGGGTGGGAGTTTCTACTAGAGGAACAAGAGGGCGGGGATGTGAGGCTGGGAAGCCGGTCCTGGGGGCTTGGGGGCGGACAGGCGCCCTTGGGCCAGCGGGGGCGGCAGCTCGGGCTCACTGTGGCCCCTGTTGAAAATCCTCGCATCCTGATAAGATCGGAGGGAGCCCTACCCCCGATCTCCCCTCGATTCCTCCAGAGCCCACGGGGCCGTGGCTCCACAAACTTGGCCTTCTCAGAGATGGTGCCGTTCCTCACCTGAGAGGTGCTGAGTGTTATTGGCTCCGTGTGACGTGCCGATGTCCAGCGCAGTGTGTGGGAGCATGGGTAGATACAAGCGTCATCAGAAAACCTTTATTAAATGGGCTTCTGCCTTCGGTGCCGCGTTAAAAGCCGAGTGTTCTTAAATCATGATTCGTGCAAGGGGACTGTCACTTCTCACTCACCCTCTGGGGAGAAGGGACCGTACCTGCTGGATAGTCTGCCTTTGAAAAGGAGTGTTCCCAACGTTTTGTAACTTTACCTCAAGGTTTTTGGCCTTTTGTAAGTTTAAAAAATATATATGTGAATTAGTTAGAGTAAGTAAGCTTGCCTTTCATTGTGACCAGAAACATAAGTGTAATTTTAGCACCTTATTAGTCAAGAGGTTTATAGAAATCCTTGCTC